CCAAGAGTATCGTGAGAAATCATCCACAAATAAGAGAAAATAGCGATAGCCTCCCATAGAAGGAACATGGTAAGGGTCCCACACATCCGAATGAATAACATCAAAAGAAGAAGAACATCTTTTATTACTAGGTTTAAATGAATATCTACAATGCTTTCCAAGTTGACAACCTTCACACTCCAGACTTGACAAACTAACAGACTCAAAAAGTTTTGGAAATAAAAAACTCAAAGAAGAAAACGGTAAATGACCCAAATGATTATGCCAAAGCATAATTTGACTCACAGACCCTGACTCACTATCCCTGCTGACATGATGACTCTAATGAGAAGGAAGTACATCCAGGAGGTAGATTCCATTCACTTCACGACCACTCCCAATCGTCCTCTTTGAATCCAGATCCTGCAAAATACGACCAGGAGAAAAAATTACTGAGCAGTTCAGGTTCTTAGTCAAACTACTAACAGATAACAAATTAGTGCTCAATCTAGGAACATGAAGGACAAAGGGTAGAGAAATAGAATCACTAATCTTGACAGATCCCTTCCCAGCAATAGGAACATGGGACCCATCAGCTGTGGAGACCCTATCTCTGCCAGAACAGAGCTGGTAAGTTGAAAAAATAGTAGAGCTCTGGGTCATGTGCTCTAAGGCTCCAGAATCTATAATCCAAGGAGGCCCCTCCTTACCTGAAGTGGAAACATAATTTGCAGTGACGTGTGAACTACCTGTGTGATCAAAGGAAGTAGAGTGGATTCCACCAGTGCCACCTGTACCTTGCTGTCCGCTTGCGGCTGAACTGGAACTGGCTGTATCCTGCTAATTCAGAAGTAGCCCATACCTCTCAAGTTCGGCCCTTTTTGCAGCAGCTGCAACAGACTCCAGAGTAGCTGTAGTAGGAGGGGCCGGAATGTCACCAGTAACTGCCATGTGCGCATTTCCCTTATTTTTCAATCTAGTCGGCACAAGATGTGGGTGAAGCTTCCATCGAGTATCTCTTGTATGTTTAGGCTTCTGACAGTAGTCACAAATCAAATCTCTTTTATCTTCCTTCTTGATGTCACTGCCACTTTGTTTAGGTTTCACAGCACTTACCATAGCAGACTGATCAGAAATAAGGTTTTTCATCATCACATCTCTCCTGCACTCCTCCCCTGACACAAAGGCATATGCTTGGGAGAGAGTGACACTGTCCCCGGAAAGAAGGTGCTGTCGTGCAATATCATACTCAGGATTAGGGCCAGCAAGGAATTCAAACACCCTATACTTCTCTAGATGTTTCTGATAGGTAGCTGCATCCTTAGTGGTTTCCCAAGCAAATGTCTCTAAATGGTCAATCTCCTGCCACAG